ACAAAAAAAAAAAAAAATATATATATATATATATATATATATATATATATATATATATATATAAAAAGCTGGGTGTAGTGACTCACACCAGTAATCCCAGCACTTGGGGAGGCCAAGGCAAGAGGATTGCCTGAGCCCAGAGTTTGACACCAACCTGGGCAATGATGAAATCTTGTCTCCACAATAAATCAAAAAATTAGACAATCAAATGGTGATGTGTGTCTGTGGTTCCAGTTACTTGGAGACAGAGGCAAAAGGAGCACCTGAGCCCAGCAGGCCAAGGATATGGTGACTATGAGTGTACCACTGCCTGGGTGACAGAGTAAGACTCCAACTCAAAAAAATAAAAGAGAAAGGCCATCAAAATTTTAAGACCTGAAGGAAATGAGATAATGTGTTTGTATGGTGGGAGGAGGTTCCGCTTAGTGACTACCCCATAATAATGGGTCAGAACTTAGTTTTTGCCTTCCCTCTCTGAGAACTTGCTAGAAGCACACTACAAACACCCCTATTCCCACTTGGGGAAGAGAAGTCTCAGTGCCCTTCTGAGTATGGCCACAGAGTCTCGCCTATGTTCACTCAGCCCCCAGCACCCATGTGCCAGACACTGTGCTTGTCCCAGTGAGATGGGCCAAAGGGGCTGAACTGAAGTATGACGGGGACTCAAAAAAACCTGGAATTACCTTTAGGAGGGTGGACCCTTTGTAGTACAGGCTTCCTCCACTAGGTAAGTGTTCTGGGAACCCATCAGCATTCGTGTACCAGCTAGTGTTGTGATGAGAGGCTGCGTTCAGCTTCAGTGATTCAACACATTTGCCCATTTCAAGATGGGTGATATACCCATGCACCTGCCCACACCGCACTGAGTGTTCACTTAGTTTTTGGCCAAAAACGGCATGACCCCATGCCCCATCCTCCCTATTCACCCAATCTCACTCTGAGTGACTTTTTTTGTTTTCCTGCATGAAAAAAGTCCTCAAAGGGAAATACTTTGCTGATGTGGAGGTGGTGAAACAACAACAAAAGACAGCAGAAGCATTGAACAAGGAGACATTCAGAGAAAAGCTAGGCAGACAGACAGAGTGGGTCCCTCAGTAACAATGTAGTGAACTTCCCACAGGCCTCTTGGACTGATACGCTTGTGTTGGTGAACAAGTTCCCTACAAGTCTCTCAAGCTAGAACTTAAGTATTCACTCCTGGGATAGAAAAACAACCAATCAGCTCACTGCCAAGTGCTGACCAATCATCTCACCTTTAGGTCCCTACTGCCTGCTGATTGGTCCTTAGTACTGACCAATCAGTACAGCTAGTGCCAATCGGTCAGCTCACAGCTAGTGCTAGCCAATCAGTTCAGGCTACATAAGCACCAGGTTTCAGCTCCAGATCAGCAACCCCCTGGGGTCCCTTCCCACTAAGGGAGTTTTTTTGTTCTATCAATAAATGCTGCTTTCTCACTTTCCAGCCTGTGTCCCTCATTCCTCCTGGGTATGAGACAAGAACTTTGGCCTAAACATCTGCAGAAGATCATTGGAACTTAAAAACTGCACACCCCAGAGGCTGGCTTGCCAGCAGACAGGACTGACTGAACCGGGAGAGCTGCCACAGAAGTTGAGACTCCATAACTGAGACACTTTTGGGGGCTGCAACATTCCCGGGGCTAGGCTTGCCAGCCCATCAAGCTGACACTCTCTGGAGCTCGGCTGGCCAACCCACTGAGCTGACACTCTTGAAGCCTAGGCGGATCTGAAAAATCCACATTAGCACTAAAAGGCATCAAAATGGACAAGCTCAAAAACTATTTTGAGCAGTGGAAAAAGTGTCTTGATACGTGTATTGCATCCAATGAAGAGTACCTTGAAGTGACCAAAGTTTAAACTTGTAAGAATAAGTATACAATTTTTAATAAATTCTGGAGATTTGGGGATCCCCCTTTGTATGTAGGCCTGCACCCCTGAGTGAATGAATCCTGTGAGCACTGCTAAGGAAGTGGAGGGACAGATCTGAGCTGAAAGGAAGACATGGGTCAGGCATTCTAGCCAGAGTGATAGATTCCAAAGACAGGTAGAAGTCAGGAATGACTGGAACATGCGCAGGATACAGTGAGTCGTGGGTTTGTTTGGGGTTTAAAGAGCTCAAAGAAGACAAGTGAGACATCATGCAAGAAAAGAAAGCTGTCAGGAAAATTCCAGACCAAGGAGTTTGGGCTTTTTGATTGGGTGTGGGAAACCCACGAAGCAGTGGCCTGATCAGAGCTGACCCTGGGAAGGGCCCTGGGGCACGTTGCGGGAGGTGGATTCTAGAAGGAGGAAGTTGAGGAAATGAGAAGCCATGCTAATTCTCGAACTGTTTTCACAATCTGGCACTCACAGAAAATGGTGTGTATGTGGCCCTGCTCCAGGTCTCAGGGAACCAACCGGGCATAGCCTCTCACAGGCGCCAGCCCTACAGCTACTCTAAGGGCTGCAGGGCCAATGGCTAAGCTGGGACGCTCCAATCTGGAAGAAGTCACAAGAAACCTGGTAATGGATAAGTCTGGGGGCAGTAGGCAAAAGAGTCCAGATCTCAACTCTTCATCCTGTGTACTGGTTTATTAGAGTGGGAGTGTATTATACTTATAAAGATAAATGGGGGGCCAGAAACCTGGAATTTATTTATAAAAA